AAGATTGATGACCTCATCTAAAACTTTAAAATGTGGAAAAAGCCCGAGCCTGCAAAAACAAATGGGGACAAGACAAGATGTGTGACTTTACCAACAATTAAACAAGCAATTCAGAACCCAAAGAAATTACCGTAGGGTAAATAGCCTTATACAAGGATTCCTAAAACACGCCCACATGAGGAGGGGAAGTCTTCTTTTGTTTTAATTCCTAAATGTATGAATGTAGTAGATTTACAGTACTGATGTTTCCCATTTTTAAAAAATTACTTCAGTTTTACAAGGAAAACTGGGGGGGGACTATCAACATCGAGGGCTGTATCTTATGGACCTGCGGGAGCAGGAACCGAGTAAATCAGTAACTTCTCATTAGGAGAGGCTTTTCATGGGGTGTACGACACCAAATGGGGGAGAAAGGGAAATATCGTTTGAAAGAGTCTGCTTTCCACCTGTGCAACAATGGCATCCTTTATACAGTGGTGCCTTGCTTAGCGATTGCCTTGTTTAATGATGTATTCGCTTAGCGATAAGGTTTTTGGAGCGATCTTGCGCTCCGTTTAGCGATGTTTCCAATGGGGGAATTTCGCATAGCGATGTTTGGGACCTTGCTTCGCTTAACTATGACAGTTTTGACAGCTCCGTTTTCACTATTTTTAAAAGGTGTTAAATTGTTTAAAAAGGGTTTAGAGTGCTTGAAATCGTTAGTGCACTTAATAAAACCTTTGTTAACCAAATTTGGCTTCGTTCTGACTCTTTTTGAATTTTTGGTGATTTTTTTTCTCCCCCATTGAAATGCATTGAAAAGGTTTCAATGCATTCCAATGGGGGAACTGCGTTTCGCTTAGCGATGTTTCCTATGGCAATTTTCGCTTAAGGACGGCAATCCGTTCCCATTGGAACGGATTATCCGGTTTTCAATGCATCTCTATGGGAAAACGCGTTTCGCTTAGCGATGTTTTCCCATAGCGCTGAATTTTTTGGCACCAATTAAAATAGTTAAGCGAGGCACCACTGTATTATCAAATCAATTATACCAGACAACACATACATACACTTTCTGTTACAGGCCAATCCTATGCATATTTATTCAAAAAAAGTATATTCCACTAAATTCAGTTAATTCTATTCCCAGTTAGGTTGTGATTTAATCTATTAATTGGTTCATCAACTGAAAATTGGATGAGCTGAATAGTAAACAAACATAATTACTTGGCTGGCATCCCTCTTCTACATAAATGCAAAGTACTGGAAAGTAGAAGGAAAAATAGTAACATACAACGGTTGAGCCGCTCTACAGGTATTCCGATTCGTATACAGTTGGTACTGTCTGGCAATGGCAGATCCTCGCATTTAGGTGGCTGGAGCTGCATCAGAATGAGTGGATTAGACCTGGCGATGTTGTACTCCTGCCTGCAGATGTCATTCTCCAGAACCTCACACTCATCCCGACAGAGCTCCCTTGGCTTAGGTGTCCGAGACTGTTCATCACACAGGGGAAATACAAAATGACAAAAGGAGGGGATGGCAAACTGGGAACACTGGTCAGATAAATGGGTGGATGTGCCAATCATAGTAAATGCAGCTGGAAAGGAAGAAGAAACATCTGTCAAAAGTAAGTTTATATGACAAATGAAACACAGTGCAAAACATTATTACTGATTTCAAGCATTAGGAAGGTCTTTAAGGCAAACGATCAAGACTCGGGGCATTAATAAAGGGCATGAAAACAGAAAACCAAGGCTACACAGATGTCTCTTGCAGCTATTTTGGCAACATCATACAAAGAATAGCAAGCACTGCATGCATATGCACACACAGAAAGTAACAAATGTCTCTAGCCTTCATCTTTAAAAAAAACCAAATTCAACAAAGTCTCTTACAGAATTTACTCCTAAGAGTTGCAACCAGAGATGGGGATGAACCAGAAAAATCGTAATTCGTCACAATTTGTCATTCATCAAAGTTGATGAATGGACGAATGGACGACGCACCAAATTTGAGCAACAAATCAATTAATATTTGTCAATTTGTCATAAAATTCAGTGTCCCACCAATCAGCTGATGGTTGGGACATTGATAGGCAGACTGGCTGTAGGAAAAGAAACCTAGGCGTCCCCTCTCGCAGCCTGCCTGTCTCACTGACAAGAAAGCTGGCTGTAGGAACAGAACCAGGTTTCCCTTCGGAAGCCAGCCTGCTTGTCAATGTCCCAACCATCAGCTGATTGGCAGGATATTGACAAGCAGGCTGTGAGAACAGAAACCCCATTTCCAGTCCCACAGGGAGCCTGCACAAATAAATATGGGTAAATATTTGTCCCTTTGTATTCATCAAGGTCTCTGGACCTGACAAATAAGAAGGGATGAATACATTAGCAATATTCCATGGATATCACGATTCATTTTTTATTCATCCCCATGTCTAGTTGCAACTCTTGCAAATCTATAGAGTTTTATGAGTTTAAAGATGCAAAATTCTTGGCACCGGAATAAAAATGAAGATCCCCCAAAGTATTTTGCTAGAATCCGTGCAAATACACCAGGACTAAATCTGGTTTATATTGTGACATACAGGCCTTCACAGATGAGGCACCTCCTTTGTGCTTGCCATCTCTTTAAGGGTGATGGCATGAACAAACCACCCTAATTTCTGCAACAACAGCTTGTAAAAGGACCCCTTCCTAACACTTTCTTCCTTTGAGATCACCAATTTATTTTCCCTTTAAATATCTATCCAACTCCCAATTTTCAGGCCTAAATGCTTCCCTCACTACACTGTCATTTTGCAGCACTATCTCCGACTTTTGCTATCCAGCCACACGGCAACCTTCCACAACCTGCCAAAGCTAAGATTTGCTATAATCTATTTTTAGATTAAGGGACATGGTGGCGCTGCAGGTTAAAGCGTAGAAGCCTCTGTGCTGCAAGGTCAGAAGACCAGCAGTCATGAGATCGAATCCTGTCGCTTGTCCCAGCTCCTGCCAACCTAGCAGTTCGAAAGCGTGTAAATGTGAGTAGATAAATAGGTACCACCACAGTGGGAAGGTAACGCCGTTCTGTGTCTAGTTGCACTGGCCACATGACCACCGAAACTGTCTTTGGACAAACGCTGGCTCTACAGCTTGGAAACAGGGATGAGCATTGCGCCCTAGGGTTGGACACGATTGGATTAAATGTCAAAGGGAACCTTTGCCTTTGGATTGTTAAGGGAAAGTTTTGCATTCTTTTATTGATTCCAAATAGAAATGCTCAAACCTGTCTTGAAGTCACACCCTTAATCATGGAAATCCCTCCATCAAATCCCAGCTGTCTTGGGCTGAGTTCTGCTTACTGAGTCATAAGATAAAGGCACAATACAAGTGATCAAAGACATGCTATTCTACAGCATTACCTCACATATGTCAGAGCCAACTCTTGGCACTGGAAGCAACTCCCAGGATTAAGCCTTAGGGAGGTCTGGCTTGAATTAAATGTTTTTTTTTTAAATCACTAGGTAAAACATATAATAAGCATTTTCTTCACTTCTGAAAAATTAAACTCAGACTCCTAAAACCAAACAAAAGGTACATTTGGTATGATAAATACAAGATATAAAAACAGATAACTCATATTTCACAGGGAGACAGGCCAGTGAGAAATGACTCTATTTAAGCTGAATTCTCAGTGCCAGTATTGATAGGTAAATCATAATAAAAATGTTTAATAATAGTTATGTGCCATCAAATGAACTGTTGGATGTCTCAGTGGTTTAGCTATTTGGCTGCGGAGCCAAAGGCTGGAGGTTCGATTCCCCATTGTGCCTCCTTGGCAGGGACTGGACTTGATCCATAGGGTCCTTTCCAGCTCTGCAGTTCAATGATGGTGATGATGATGAAATCAATTCTAAGTTATGGTGACCCCTTCCAGAGATTTCTAAGTACAGAGTACTTAGAAATGGTTTAGCGTTCCCTTCCCCTGGGGTGCGCTGAGACTGTACAGCTTGCCAAAGGATACATAGGCTGGCTCTTCTCTTGGGAGGTACAGTGGCAAACTGAACTCTCAACCTTTGGCTTTGCAGCTAGATACCTAAAACAGTAAGCTATTTAACAACAGCCCCCCCCCAAAAAAAACACCACTGGGTCAAATATGTTTGGCTTCCTACTATAAATATCAGTTACATTAATTTTACTTGAATATTTAAAATTTAAACCAAGAAATGAAAAGTATGTACCAAAGGCTGGTACATTAAATAGCCCCAGTGCAGATCTGTTTTTGCTCTCCTCCACAGGAAATGGATGAAAGCAGTACCATACTACTTACAAGCCATTCATTTTGGAGGTGCAGTCCCCAGACAACTCCTTGAAGTTTGCATGAAACTTGGTAATTATAACTGACTAACGGAATTAATACTCTGCACTGTAACACCCAGGACTTGATCCACAGTGTCATATGCACTGAAGCTAAACTGGTGATTGGAAGGACTGACCTCACCCACGACTTTCAGCCAGTCCATTAGGTTACTTTCTGATTCGTTGTGAGAACCAGGAGCTCTAAAAAGGCTGAAATAAGAACTGTGGCTTTGAAACAACATTAGCAATAATAACCCTTGCTGATACTAGTTCTACTCTACCTTTCTTCCTAATCAAAGTAAGCCCAGCTCCTGAGATAATTTTAGGCCTGCACATCCCAGTTTTAGTAGCAATGGCCCAGAAAGGGATGTGACATTTTAACCTTTTGTTTGACCTCTGCGTCCTGAATCCTGCGCTCAAAAGGCAGAAGAATGAACCTGAAGGGGATACTGCTAGAAATTAGATAAAGAATGAGGAAAAAACACAAACTCAGTCAGTCCACTTCAGTGATTCTCAACAAGTTAATGGATGAGGTGAAGTGCAATAAAGTCCTTTACTCAAATGTTCCAGTAGTTCCCAGTCAGAGCCCCCAGACGCTTACAAACCCTCATAGCTGTGAGGTGAATAGATCCATGAGCCATCACATTCTAAAAATCTGAGAATGACAACATTATAGTGTATTCAAACACCCAGTGACAATGCTGCTAATGGTTTCTCTTGTATAAGCAGGCATCTTTCAAATAAACGAAAACAATGTTCACATTTTGATCATTTGGAAATTCCTCAGTTTCCAAATAACCAAAGGGAAGAGTGCACAGTTAAGGCTCGGTTGCATCAGACTTTCACATTATGCCATTTTCTGTTTGCACCAGTCATGCCTATGTTAAAAGGCCTCAATGCATCCAATCACCAGTTTAGCTTCAGAGCATATCTGATGTTTGTGGATGGCTTTAGTAATCACTGCTGAAGAGCACAGTGAATAGTCAAACTCACTTTAATCAATGGCAAAGTATCCTTGAGCAGGCTGGCCTTACAAAGAATGCAGATAAGAACAAGGCCAAGATAAGTGAAGATACAGGACCTACCACAAAGGAAATCATCTGAAGAGGGCATAAAAGGAGTTCATATTTTGGGATAAACCTTTGCCAGAGTGCTTACCTCCTTAGCAACACTGGGTCAAAGATGTTTGGCTCGGGTTCAAGAACATCAACACAAGACATTCTCTGACAATCAGCACTACTTACAGAAGAACAGTTTCAGCCCATTCTTGACCATATACACCTTTCTTCAAGCCACCTCTCACCTAAATGTGACTTCGCAATAGCTACCAAGTAGCTCCTACAAGTAGAACTGACATTTGTCTAGCCGAATGAGTTTGTTACTGGCCATATTCATCATACTGCTCAAGTCACCATCAATGTGCGCACGTCTATCAACAAATTAATACAAAGAGAATATTCTGGGTACTATGCACAATCTGAACAAACCCCAAGTTTGGCTAAACTGAAAACATTTGCACATTTGTCCAGTGATAATCACTGGAAATTGGCTAACTGCTAAGCAATCAAGGTTTACTCCAACTGAAATGAAGACATCAAGACAACTGATAAGCTATTCAAATAATATATTTAAGTGGGGGATGTAACAGAGAGAGAAAGTATGATTTGTTTACATGTATAATAGCTTTTCTAGAAAGCTTCTGTCAACATAATGAACTTTGGAAAACAAGATGTGCATGCCCTGTGCAGCCTGTTTTCAAGGAAAAGTGTTAATTTTGGCAGTGGCTGCAATGGCAGATCCAGCAATGAGTCCATTCCCAAGTTGGGGGGGGGGAAGCAAATTTGACTTCTGGTCTAGCAGAGGTTGCTCTCCCCTATACTATGCAGAAGAATTATGCAAGTCAGCTAGGCTTAAAGAAGCCAAGCCACAAGCCATCTAGGACAAAGTCCTGAATTACTGGGGGGTTTTGGAGGGGGAGTTTGGCTCTTTTATACTTTACAAGAGTGCTAATAATATACTGAATATACTGCTTGAACATCTTTAAATGAAATTGCCAGTTTGGACAGTAGGTGTCACTGCTCTCCACTCCCACTGATTACATGATTCACTGGCTTAAGTAAATGCAAATTAACACACACAAACTTGCGTTCAGCTCATTCATCCCATTACAAAACTGCTTTTCCCATTACAAACTTTCTGTTGTGCTAATTCCACCACTCCAGCCCTCTCATCTTAAATTTGCTTCTCTTGCCTAACATTTAGCAGACTTTATAGTGAATAGTTAGTTAAAGAGAGCCTAAGTATGATCTTCCTATAAGAGAAATGTTCGTACTGTACTTTTAAAGCCATGTACACAAAGTTACAGTTCCAAGCCTAAAACGTGTCCTTTTGCACATGCTTATTCTAGTTTGCCATGTTGCCACTCCCACAATCAAGGAGGAAAATCATTTTGCAGTTTTAAAACACTGACTGGCCTTCATCAGTGTAAGCTACAGTAGCAATACCGAACAGAAAGGCTGAAAGCCCAGATTACACAGCTGCAATAGCTTGGTCCACATTTAAACATCAACTTTGGTCTACAGTGCAAAACTCCGATGGAAACCTTGCCTGTTTTGCAGACCACAGCGATTTTGAATGTAGAAACATGTTTCTAAACATAGAGCAGCATCTTCAAGCATTTTAATAAATCACATCATTCTCAGATGTGTCTCTTCTATACCTGGATGCTGAACAAATGCCAAAACAGACTGGGATGTACAAAGCCTGATAACATAGCATTCCGTGTACTATGTGGATTCCAAGGGAAAAAAAATTAAAAAGGAATTTCAACGAAACACAATTGCTAGGATCCTAAGTTAAGCTTCTGCTGGGATCCATCCATCCATGAACCAGCAAGTGAAATTGTGGAGAATAAAATTTTTGATTATTCTCCCTCTGACACAGTCCCTGTACCAAGTAAAGCTCTGCTCTGGACAATTCTGCTCAAGAAAGATGGAAATGGGTGCTGCAACAGAAGACAGAAATTTGCCCAAACTCCTGTTTTCCACCTGTGGAGACATTCTGGCAGCCCTTGGCTGAACTGAAAAGGTCTCAACAAGTGGTATGTTCAGATCTCTGACAGGAACAATCTCTCTCTTCTCTGGAAACCTACTTGGCAGGAAGGAAGAGAGGAAAGAAGAAAAAAGATGGCCAACGACTTTTGTGACTGGTCCTGCCCACTGCTAGCTTTGCTTCCTCCCACTGCTAGCATATGTCTCCTGTTGATGAACGGATTTCAACTAGAAAATGTCTGCCCTTCCTTGCTTCAGATGATAATACCACTGCTGGAGGAAAGGGAATGCTGGTTCCAAAGTAGTGTATTTTCCAGGAGTTTAAGCTGTGGAAAATCTGTTCATAGTGCAAATGTATACCCTACATAATAAAAATAATTAATTATGAGCCATCAAGTTGATTGCAATGACGATCCTTGAAGGTTCTTGTCCTGTTGGGACCATAGACCATGAACTTGATGCTCGCAATGTGCTCCCCATCCTATGGGGCTGGTGTCTGTTGTGACTTGGATTGTGAGCTGTAAAGGTCTGAAGGGGTGACCAATCATTAGATGTGGAAGGAAAGTCCACCACTGAAGTTGTTGGGCAAGTTCTTGTGAGACAGGTAGTCGTTTCCCCTGGCTGTCGTGAATGGGGCCGAAGAGAGACAGAAGCCAGACTTGTAGGGATCGCATTTTCAAATGTGCATGCACCAGGGCAGGTGTTGTGGATGCCATGAGCCCTAGAAGATGTTGTGCATGATGCGCAGAGACACTTTTGCCTGGTCGGAACTTGCACACAGTGGCCCTTATTTTTAGAATGCGCTCTGGGGGAAGAAACACCCTGCCTATGGTAGAGCCCAGTCTGGCTCCTATGTAGTCCATTACTTGAGATGGTTCGAGAATTGATTTCTTTATATTGATTGCGCAACAGAGGTTCTTTAGAGTTTGAAGGATGAATTTGGTGTTTTTTATGGCTTGACACCTGGACAGAGAGACTACTAGCCAGTCGTATATGTACGGGTAAACTTGGATTCCCTGAAGGCGCAGGTATGCTGCCACCAGCGCCATGCACTTTGTAAATGTCCTTGGTGCTGTGGAGAGATAAATGCTTGGTCTTCTTCGACCGCTTACATGGTCGTGAGACTGGTCTTGATTGGATCGACGCCGACGAAGGAGCCAAAGACGCCCACCCAGTAGATATAGGGCTATTCAGGCCAGAGGCTAAACTCTCCGTAGCATGTGCGAGTTGGCTCGGAGTCGGGGATATTGTGCCAAACGGTACAATAGGCTCCACTTGTCTGGGAGGTAGCGAGGTAGCTGCCTCAGACAGTGACTCTCGATCCCGAGAGGAGTCCTCAAGAATCGGTGAAGGCACCAATGCCGAAACTGGAAGTAGTTGTTTGAGAGAGTCCTTTGCTTTAGCCAAAGTCTTTGACTTGGCTTGTTTAATGCTCTTGGCGGAGATGGTGGAAGGTGCCTTCGACGTCGAGGCAGACAACTTCTTCAAGCCTGAGGATTTTTTAGCAGGCTTATCGGTGGTCCTGGTAGATGGCAACTGAGAAGTGGTATGAGCCTCAGAGCGTGGAGTGGCAGAGAGTGAAGAGATTTCCATTTCAGATGGTTTAGATGAAGACAGGGTCTTATACCACAAGTATAGTTTTAATCTTTGTTGACGTGCCTTGATCGCAGCTTTTGTAAAAATTTTACAGTGCTTGCAAGTGTTTGGCTGATGGGATTCGCCAAGGCAAAAAAGACGGCGGTTGTGGCCGTCCTGGAAGGGTAGTTTACGGGAACAGACAACACAGCGGCTGAAGGGACCGGATGGGGACATAAGCAGGTAGATAATGGAACAGTCTTAATGTTTGTAGGGAAGTAGAAGTCGCATGGCGAGATAAAAGGGTGGGAAATTATCTGTAAACGACTAATGCAAAGCAGAGGCAATAGAATAGTCAGAAAAGGCAGTCCGAGGTCTGGACAACAGATATCAGAGGAGTCAAGCAGTCTGTGGTTGAAAAAATACCAAAAAATCCCAAAAATCAGTGAAGCTCAAGCGAGAGGTTCCTAGCTACACGGCGGTAAAATGAAACTGGGGGCTGAGGCGGGTGGAGAATGCGCTATTGGGGCAACTTAAACTTTGATATTTTCTCTTAAAGCTCTGGAATATTCTGAGAGGTCCAGCGCAGGCGCTGACTTAACCCCTTTTGTGTGCATTCACAGAGGCCACGATGAAGAATTATGTTTCATCAAGGTGCCAACAAAAAAGCAACATCACGTAATGCAAGCATGCCTCGGGAAAACTGAAACATCCTCTTCTTAACTAAATAATCTCAAACATGGCCATCTGCTAGACTCTGAAACACTTCACAGAGGATCCTTCAAAATAATTTCCCTTTTCTTGTCTGCAATAATTATATTAGAATATACAGTGGTGCCTCGCACAGCGACCTTAATCCGTTCCGGATTAACCCTCGCTGTGTGAAAACTTCACTGTACGGATCAAAAAAAGCCATTGGAACGCATTAAACTTAGTTTAATACGTTCCAATAGCAGCTTTACTCACCGTACAGCGATGTTTCTCCGATGGCCGGCAGCCATTTTTGCGCCCTCCCCTCGCTAAACGAGGGTGCGAAAACGCTGCGTGCGGCCATTATGGGGCTTCCGGCGGCCATTTTATAGCTGCCGAACAGCTGATCGGCGGGTCGCAAAGCGAAGGTCGGTAAGCAAACCGCTTACCGACCTTCGCTCTGCGATTTTGAGCCATAGGGCCGTCGGTGTGCGATCACATTTGCGATCGCTAGAACGGCCCCGTTGTGCGGATTCGTCGTTCTATGGTGCACTCGTTGTGCGAGGCACCACTGTAGTTATGTTCCAGATGCTGAAAAGTATGAAATGGGGTGAAAGAAAAAGCTTGCCAACTTAGTACTTAATCACAATATACCCATCCTACTCCAAATTCACAGAAACTCCTCTTATGACAATTGTAGAAATGGCTGTTTAGTATGAAACCAGCAAATTGTCTCGATTCACGCTAAGACACAAAACTTAAAAGGCTTTTCTCAGGTTCATTATCATTCACTCATTCAGTTAAAATCAGGTTTCTCCATGAGGTGCAACAATTTTTGTCAATAAAGAGAGGCATGCAGGCTTACCGGTAATTCGGTTTTCAATTTCCCCTTGCATTTGGAGGGAGTCCACATAAATGGTCCTGTTTCCAATGATTCGAGCACATGCAATTCCCCGGTAAGGCTGGCAAAACCCATCTTCATGATAATCTTCCCTGGAAAAAGACAAATTGGGAGCTCATAAGTACAAATTGGGAGCTCTACAGATATCTGCCTGTCCCTTATGAATTCTAAAGAACTGTATCTTTTAAGAGAAAAGGGAGGATTGTCAGTAAATCTGACATCTTTAATTCCTCCAGAGGCTGCTCCCTCTTCTCAGTTTCAACAGGCACATTGTTCTTAAAATAAGAAGGGCATCAATTAACATTTTAACTCAGGGTTGGAGGTGTTGGTATGTAGGGGGGGGACCTCCATAAAGGGAAAACAACAATTATCTTGGAAATCCTATTCTAGGGATAATGGAATATGACAGGTTATTCTATTAAAAGGCTGTTCAACTGAGACAGTAATATGTGTCATGTTACACCTCATAATACATTGCTGGCATCAAATAAGACGCTATACAATTAGGAGAGCAGTGTTTCGCCTCCTCCATCTCCTACTGCAATCCTTCATTTCCTGCACTGAAAAGCAAAACAGGCCCTGCCAAAATTTAATTAAAATATGGCATAATTCTGAACTGTGGCTTAGATAGAATGAAATTAGTGCTTAACATCTTTCTCTCTCCCCTCCCCCAGCAATTTTAATTAAATCACACTGAATAACACTAAATTCGGTTTCCCCTGCAGGTCTTAATCTATGTGCTGGGCTATTGACCAGGCTGAACTCTGTTCTGCTTCTTTAAAATCAGTTGAATGTAGCTGACTTAAGACTTGCTTTGAAGCAGCACTGATAAAAATCTCTTCCTCTTAATACCAGGGGTGGACACTTCCTGAGGTGTGGAAGACTCCAGGCCTTTCGTACTTGGCAGCATGAGCTAGCGCATGCTGCCAAGTTCATGCAGGACACCTGTCAACTTGAAAGTGGCACCTGCTTTTAACCTCCCCAATGCTGCTCCCTGAGCTAGGTCACTTAAGGCCAAAGTAGCATATAAGGTGCTCAATGTCCTTTTGGACTTGGTTAGTGCTTCATCCAAAGGCCTCTGAGATGAAACATTGGAAGCAATGTTTCGAATCTGATTCTAATAAAAGGTTATATCCTCATTCATATGCAACTCTCCCTCCTCAGATCGTACTTTGCAGTCGTAACGATAACAGAATCTGGGGTCATGGTACATTCTGTAATGCAAGAGTTCACCACAACAGTTCTGTACAAGTGTCCTAAAGTATGTACAGAGTTACATGAGGCTATCAGTAAATCATTTGAAGACAGAGATTGGGCTGGACTCAATGATCCATAGGGTCCTTTCCAGCTCTGCAGTTCCAAGATTATTGTTAATATTTCTAGCAGGTCTCATCACCACCAGAGAATGTCTTTTGCGAAGCTTTGTCTTCAATGCCCATTTAAAACAAAGCTGCCCCAAAATAACTTGCAATATAAGAGGGAGAGCTCACAAAGTATTTTGGAAAAATCTCACTATTTATTGCAAGGACTTCAGTAAACTCAGAAAGAGCACAGAATTCTGAAGGGAGTGGCAGATAATTGTTTCTTCAAATGAAAAAAAAATCCTGGACCTTTGTAACCATCAGCATAGATCCCTCTCTTCTTTCATAAGATATGAAATGTGTTTCACAATAAATGTTTCACTTTGAGGTTTTGATTGTGGGAAATCAAGAGGTGTTGAAAGTGGCACAAAAATATATATATAATGTAGAAAGATCAACATATTAATTCAGCCATTTTCTACTGGGAAATGGAGACCTCTGCTTCACCTTGATTCATAAACAGCAAGATAAGCCACATGAGTCAACCGCTTTCTTGTGGTCTGCTGTCATGTCTATAAAAACGTCATAAGGTTTTGAGTAAGCCACCCTTTCAGTTGAAACACCACATGACTGTGGAAGTCAAGAGAAGAGTCCCCTCTTCTCAAATGAGAGCATTGTGTTTGTCCTTCTCACTGGAGCCAATGAGAACTATGGTATAAAGAGACAGAATAGGGAATGAAGAGGATAGGATACGGTTCAACTAGATTTCTTCACTGACTTTCTTTCTTAAAATAAATGGGTTAACACTGCCTTTGTAGAGAAGGTCAAGGGTGGGCTTCACAACTGGACCCTTGTTATAACCATTAAGTATTACTTTTTATTTATTTATTTTATTTATTTATTCAATTTCTACCCCGCCCCTCTAGACAAGGTCTACTCGGTATCAGTTTATCAGTTTAACAGAAAGGCTCAACAGCATCATGATACTTTTAAGGCTTCTGTCAGCCATGATAATTTGCAAATCGTCAAAATGAATGTAGGAAACATTTGGCAATAAATATACTAAACAACATAAATAATGTTCATATAAATGCATTTTCCCTGCACATGGAACTATTGTTTTTGGAAAAAATGCTTCACTTAATAGCTTTATTAGAGATGTTCCCCAGTTCTGTTGTCTGATACTGAATAAATTTAAATTCATACTGGAACACAATCTAGCCAGCAGAAAGAATCAGTTATAGACAAGAACACTCCAGTCTTACTTCCTTCTACATACTTTTCATAAACTAGATGATAGTGACTCTCTTATAGATAGGAGTTGAAATGGAAGTAATTATTCTTATTGTAGCAACACAAACTATTTGAGTTTTCCCCCCCAATCAGCCTGATAACCACACTAAGATTTAATTCAGTTTTACTCTGAAATTGATTTTATTCCTTAATCAGATAAAGAGGCTTGGAAACCTGAACGTAGTTCAAATGGAGAGACAATGCTTGTGTTTGCATATAGTGACATTTAAAGGATAGTTTAAATGCCTCATTAATTAAAGAATTCCAATTTTTATGAAATGTTGGAATTTTATTAGTGGAATTAATTAATCAATTATTATTTCGAGAATACAAATTAATCAATCACTTAATTAAATTTCTATCACACTACGGGTTTAAGATTTTTCTCTTGCCAGAGACATTAGGTGTCAATTTTACCATTCTGTAGTTTAATTTTATCTTTCTTTATTTAGATTGCTATTACTGAGAATATAGTACTTAAAAGTATAATCATAAAGGATGCTGACAATGCCTTATAGCCTGAAATGTATGTTTTTGGTAATAGTAACATGGAACAGAAAACAGGACAGATCTTTCTTTGGCTTTAGAAAAACTGAAGAAAGATGTAATCCCCACTTGTGAAAATGGCTTTAGCAGTTAATTGCAAGAACAGAAACGAGCTTTAAGTAGTCTCTTGGGGCCATTTCACATATTACACAGTACACTCAACAGAGAGCCACAATTCAATATATTGTGCATAGCCCAATCAGTTTGAAGTACCCACAGGATTTGTAGCATCCATACTTTACACTTCAATGAACACATGTAAGTCCACTCAGAATGCCAGTAAAAGTACTCCACATGACTGTGTAAGTTTATAAGCAGGGTTTTGGGGCTGCATTCATTTAAAATATGGAATGACAATCAAAAGGAGTGGCTACTCCTACCCACTCCTGGTTTGACACAGGTTTCCAATCATAAAGTTCAGGCAAACTTGTACTTCTGCTAATCATTGTTTACCCAATCTCTACTAACTGTTGAAAAGGACAGTTAATACACTGGAAGAAACAGGAATTCAAGGCACCCACATCTGATATGGAGGAGGGCAGATATAAGCCAAATCAATGTGCAGTTCCAATGTGCAAACCATGCCTTGTCTCCAACATTTTAAAGCAGGCCAGTGCTGCTACCCAAGAGTACAGTGCTCCAAAGAACCCTGTTGCAAAGTTTGTCCCCTTTTATTCTGTGAAGGAGAGCAGCATAGTGTGCCATCCTCCATTGAGAGCAGACAGGAGATAACAACTGGTTGCACAGTGGGAAAGTTGATTAAGTTGGAAGAAGGAGAAACCGGGAGGAATAAGGCGGTGGAGATATTTCTAGGAGAGAGTAGACAAGCAAGAAAAGGGGAGGAGCTAGAATTAATGAGATGAGACGAGACTGTAAAAGATGAGAGAGGGGAGAAAAAAGGGGTAGAACATGGAACTGAGAGAGAGGACAGAGGCACTCAGACAGAAGGGAAAGAGTTACAAAGGTATGGACCGATCGAACTAGTCCATGAATTCCCGAATCTTAGAACTGGGGGAGGTTTATTGCTCGATCCCACAAGTTTCATAGAGAAAGAGAAGATAAAGCCTAAAATGGGATGGAGTATGATAGTGGTACCACGCTCACAGAACATAGGGAAGAAAGTGACATACATTGGTACCACCAACTACCTTGCCATATCTAGAGGGGAACTTGGTGAAGCATCCCTGTTGCGGGACAATCTGTGCAGCTTTGAGCTTCCCAATGTGGTACCAAACCGAACAAGGTCCATGTGGGATGACGAGGGAATGAATACTGGAAAGAGTTTGAGCGTGACATGTGTTAAGAGTTACAAGTTATTGCCCAACTTAGTTTTATTGGTTTTAATGACTTTAATGGTTTTAAGGTAATCAATGGTTTTAATGGTTTTAAGGTGATTACCTGGATCCTTTCTATGTTAATAATCAAGAAGTGAATAGAAATAAAGAAACCATGTTTGTACCGTTATCTTCCTCTCTGTCCATTTTTTCCCGCTGAAAAGAAGGGTCCCCCTCTCCTAGAGAAAGAACCCAATCACAGTGACACCCAATGTGGGGCGGACCCTCAGGCGGGAAAAGAAGAAATTCTTTCTATTTAGAGAATTGGAAATCTTTGGGGGCCCTCAGGCGGGAAAAGAAGAAATTCCAAAATTATTGAAGACCATTGAAAGACAAGAAAAGTTAATAGAGAACCTAGCAGAACAACAGACGATGCTGACCAAGAAGATCAAGAAACGAGAAGATGATGAAGATAAAAGTGTGAGAAACAATGTGGTGATTAAGAATGGACTGGTGGCCGGACCAGCTGCTATACGGATTCAAAAGATGAGCACCAGTGATGACCCAGAGGCGTATTTACATACCTTTGAAAGAGTAGCACAGTATACAGATTCAAAAGATGAGCACCAGCGATGACCCAGAAGCGTATTTACATACCTTTGAAAGAGTAGCAGTAGC